CGAGCGCACATGTGCATTCAAGTGGTAATGTGATTGTGTGTGCTTATTTATATATATTTTTATGTGGGAGTGTATGGTTAACATACTTACTTTACTTTACTTCTTCATCCTCTGTTGCCTTTAAGCGTCGAGGGCAGATACAATTTTTTAGGCTAACAAACAGTACTGTTATAATTTTGTATATATTGTAACAACCAGTGTGGACCCACCTTATTGATCAACCCCTACAACCACAGCTCTCTTAGGGTTCCTAACCTGGCACAGCTCCTCTTGATATCATTCTGTTGTCTCGTCAAGGCTATTTTTCGCCATGTTGCCTGTGTTGTAATTCCTAAGTGATTTGACAGTATCCACCAATACATTTCTCGACTTTCAGCTTTTTGTCTTTCATTTTTGCAGTTTAAGTCTCCCATTTGATATTTCAACCATAATTCGTAAAACGAATAGTTCTGTTGTGTTATTGTGTAAGCCATAGATCGTGATACATGCAGATGCTTTACATAGATGAATTTGTGGACGTGAATGGCGTGCCTAAAATCAATTATCGATACACTTCATCCCCCCTTCCTCCTCCAAATGCAATTGAAAAATGAATAAATAGATAAAAATATAACATTTTTAAAAAGTTAAAGTATTTATAAATTAATATTTCCCCAATTTATAAATAAATATTTCCCCATATGTAGGCCAAATACTTTTACATTTTTTAAAATCAAATAAGATAAAAAGAAGAGTCTTACTATTTTTAGGCGTATTATTAATTCCCTTAGTCCTTGGTAGTCAAGTTTTAAGTTGTGCATTCAGTTGTTTTTATGCTTTACTTTTGTTCTGTTTACCTTTTATGTTTTATATTTTATTATTTATCTAAGACTGTGTGTTTAGTTTTGCGCTCTGCTCAAAGGTGGGCTTTAGATTCCCTCTTGTTGTTTGGTAGCTTTACTGGCTCAATGAGCCTTTTTTTCATTGTCGTTGTCATCGCTGTTCATATTGTTGTTGTTATTATTATTATTATCATTATTTTTATAATTTCGTTTTTTTGTGTTATAATTATTATTGATTTATCTTGTATTTAAAAAAAAAAAAGTATTTATAATACTGTCATCAATGTTGTTCCTGTTGTGATTGATATCATCATCATCATCATCATTATTATTGTTATTATTATTAATAGTATTTTTATTATTATTATTAATACGATTATTATTGTTGTTATTATTATTATCATGATCAATGATTACTATTACTATTGCTGAGATAAGATTTTACTCGTGAACATGAGGAGCGAATTGCCAACTGTGTGATGTATTACAAGAGCTTTGTTGACCTTAGCCCTTTGTTTTTAGTAGAGCTGTGTTGACCTCTGACCTCTGACCTCTGACCTGTTTTTTTGTCCCTCTAACTTCCAGGAAACCTGCCGTGCCCCCACCCAGGATGGAGAATGGAGGCGGAGACATGTCGGATAAGGAGAGAGAGCTCAGGCAGAAAGAGGAAGAGGTGAGGGAAAAAAGGACAACAAGAGAACAGAATTTTTATTCCCCTTTCAGGATTATAAAAAACATTATTATTCAGTTATTTATGCCCTACTATTCTCTCTTGCTCTTTTTAACTCCCAGTGGAGCATGTGCCATCAAAAACATTTCTCCAGCGAAGCCTGTCCTGTGCATCCTTTTCTAGCTGTTTCCATGATGATCCCCGCCTTTTTATTCGCTGTTATGTAATTCCTTCGGTGGGAAAACAGTTCATGAGAAAAAATCTTTTGAAAACATACTCACCAAAAATGGATGACCCCATTAAAAAAACCAAAAACTTATAAAAATGTTTTTTCAAGATTGGAGTTAAATGCCTTATTATTATTATTCACAGTTACACAGTTGGTTTGTTGGTTTTTCAAATTTCTGCGGAATGCAGTTCATAATTGTGTGTGAAGGGTTCGGAGGAGTTTACTTGTCCAATTCTGCGTGTGGGTAGAGGATTTTAATCATTACTATTATCATTATTTGTATTATTGTCATAATTATTATTTTTATTATTATTATTATTATTATTATTACTGACTTTGTGTGTGGGTGGTTGGCGGGTGCTCTGATGTGGTTTTCTCCTTCTTTCCCGTCAAACATCTATCGTCCTTGTCTCTCCTCCTTTTTTGTGTATGTTACTCTCTTGTAACACATCTATTCTGCGGACCTTATTGTGTTGCAAGTGCCGTAAAACTCTCTCTAAAACTATACTGACTTTGCGTTGTGCGTTGTTTTCCCCCCTACAGTTGCGGCGCATGCAGGAGCGCCTGGCCCGTATGCAGGCGGAGATTGAGTCCAAGAAGCCGCAGCACATTCAGAACGGAGAGCTCAAGTCTCAGGACGTCTAGCACTCCCGACTGACCACTGAGTGGACACTCTACTTGTGGTGGGTTGAGATCCCCTCCCTCTCTTTCTTTCTTTCTTTTTTTCTCTGTCTGTCTGTCTGTCTGTCTGTCTGTCTGTCTGTCTGTCTGTCTGTCTGTCTGTCTGTCTGTCTGTCTGTCTGTCTGTCTGTCTGTCTGTCTTCTCTCCCCCTTCTCTCTCTCTCTCTCTCTCTCTCTCTCTCTCTCTCTCTCTCTCCACACTTTTCTGTGTGTATGTTTGTCTGTCTGTCTCTGAAAATTACTGCCATTACACATCTCCCCCACCACAAAATGCACATCAGAAAGAGCATTCCATTGGCGCCGAACGAGGTTGTCCAAGGGAAACAATTAATTGAAAAACTAGTGTGTGTTAGTATATCATTGATCATTTCCCTTGTTGTTTACAGCCTCATGTACTTTCGCTACTCAGACAAACCCATCAACATTACTGCAAATTATATAACATAACTAGCTGGGCCCCCTTTCGATGAAAGGAATAATCAATGCATTTACTTCAACTGAAAGTCATTGGCCTACTATATTTACGCTCTACTGGAATGGAGCAATAAATCTTGAGAGAAAAGTGACATATGTGTTTCCAAGTTGCCGAATATATAATAGATGTTTAGATTAATTCTCTATTCCGCGTTCATGGTTGTACACTCCAGAATTTCAAAGGTGTAGAATCAGTGCGCACGGCTAGTGAACGGAAACCTCCTTTGTCTACAATGACGTCTTAGAAGACGGAGTTTCCCAAGATTAGATCTAAACGAAACTAATGAAAAATTGAAAATTAAACTACAGTGACTTCAGGCTCCTCAATGAAACTGTGGACCCTTGAAATGATTCTGAACCACCTTTAATTTTGTCAACTTTTAAAGTTTAGTTGTTCGGAAGTTTTTGGCGGCCAAAGTGACGATCTTTCACAAATATAATAGATGACAATAGCAGTGCTAAGTAACATATAGTCTTAGTGTTCAGTGTAACGTTTTCTTGGTGTTAAATTGTCCCCTTACTTTCGTTATGGTACAAACTTTATTCACGGGTCGCTGGCAGGTGCTCTGGTTGCTCCTTCTTTCCTATTAAATACCTACCGTTCTTATCTCTACTCGTTCTTTTTTTTGTTTTTTATTTGTTTTGTTTTGGTGTTTGTTTCTCTTGTAACACCTGTAATTTTCGGCACTTTTATGACCTTACTATGTTTCAAGTGCTGTAAATCTCTCACTAAAACAAAACATTTTATTCACCAGGACCAGAATGAATGAGGCCAGGAGAGATGAATCAAGCGACAAGGGAATTTTATGACAGTTTTTTCTTTTATACTGAAAGGCTCATGGTTGTACCAGCGTGACAAACAAATATCTGCAGTGTGTGTCTGTATCTGTGTAGTGTGTTTTTGTCTGTAAGTATGCAGCACATTGTGTCCATGTAGGGTGTTTAAAATAAAGAGGAAAATAAACGCTGTTTGAATGAAGAGTGAGAACGAAAGGATAATTTTTTCCTTTGTTTGGTTGTTTGTTTGTTTGATCCTGGCATTTTTACATTTGGTTATGATAATGGGCAGTGGATGATAATAAAGAGCATAGATTTAATACTATAGTTCTGTTGCTGGAGTATGAAAGAGGCTGATTTCTACGATTGTTTGAGAATCTGTGTTGGTGGCAACTCTTGGACCCTATGTAATTGCTTGCTGTTGAATGGTCCTTTGTGGGAGTCTATCTGAATTTGTGCATGCTTAATGCGGGGGAACACTGTTAGCTCAGTTGATATCATACTGGACTACAGGTCAGATGACCCTGTTGTGAACCTTCAACGGGACGTTCCGAATTTGGTTTTTGTTGGGTTGTTTTTAAGGCTCTCCACCCAATTAGCTCAATCCTATTAGAGATAGACGCTGAATTCCGAGATCAGAGGGCTTAATAGCCAAACAGTGTTGATGAAAGAAGCATTAAACCTATAACCCTACAGTTTTTTGCTGAATGTGTAGAAAAGCCAAGAACAAAGAAAGCTGTTGAGTACACCATGATGCTCTTGATAGTCATGCTGGTTGCCGAGAGTTTTTAGAGAGTTTTATTGACCAAGGGAAGAAAGATTGTTGTTGTTGTTGTTTATAAAGCAGTTGAGGTATGAGTGGCAGGCTGTGGAAGATTTGTATAAAGGTAGTCTAATTACTAGATTCAGCTGAAGCCTCCTGATGGATTGTCCGACTGATGACTGAGTGAAAGCGTCGGTTAAGTTCAAGATTTGACCACGCACCTCTATGTAATGAGGTTCCTGGTTTTAATTGTAAAGTACTATAATTTCAAGTGGAAGACTTTACAACACGCTTTTTTGGTCTGATGTGGTTGGTGTGATGAGTTGATGAGATTACTACTGCTCCCCCACATGCCTCTGTTTACCGAGACGAGGTGAGTTATTTATGGATGTTGACGTGTAACTGCGAATGGATGTTTGGGGATTTTCGGTTAACTTAGATTCCATTATGTCTAACAGTGTGTTTACACATCTTGGTTTACTGCTGGGGGGTAAGGGGGAGGGGTGTGAAGGACATGAATATTATGCTGATTAATGAGTTTGTGACTGTGTGCCCATTCGTTTATACTAATGTTTATATAAATAATATGTGTATGTGTGGTTGTGTGTGCCAATATTCTCCATGTTTGTGTTGAGATGGAGAAGTATAAACTGATGAGTTTTTAAGTCAGAACTTTAGGGGAGACTAATTTCATCCGTGGTATGAAGGGAGATTGATGAGTTTGCAGTCATGTACAGGTTTTGAGTGGAAGAATATTGTCATTTAATTACACAGGCGTTGATTTTTTTTCTGCGTTTGTGTGGTTCTCCCTCGAGGATTTTTTCAAATTAGTGATTTATTATGTCTGTTTTGGTCTTTTTCTATGTCTTCATTGTTCCCCCGTTTCCCCCCTTTCCAGATTTTGTAAGTTATTTTCTTTTTGTGACCAATCTCGTCACTTGTATTGAAATGAAAGGATTGCATAGGACAGTGGAACACTTAGGTGTGTGAAGAAGGCAACTTTTTGTTTGCCTCTGTCGCGTTAAGTCTTTCTTAACAAATTTTTTAGTGTATAAAATGTTTGGGCAGTGTCGTGCATCTTCATTGAAATAAAAAAAATCACAAGGCAGGTTGAATTTTGCAGAACAGTTTACTGCTTCGTCTGCTGGACAAAATTTTGTTTGTAAATACAAGATATAAACGACATTTAGAGAGTATATTATATCTGACCTCTTTAGTCTTGTTGAATCCAAGTCAGAGGTGAAAGTTCGTTATGCACACCAGTCTTTGTTGACTTGTCTTCCAGTTCAAGCAGTATAGTCCCGGACTAGCTCCACAGTGTGAGGAAAAAACAGTTTTATGTGCGCTTATCATATTGAGCCAGCCCTAGGTCTATTTATAGCTATTATTTTTATTCGACCAAATTCATCCTGCTTTTTTTTAAAGCTCTTTATTAAGGGAAACAAACCTGCTACATCGTTGTTGAATTCGCAGTGAACAAATTTTTTCCACGCCAACACATTTTTGGCAAAACCATGTGCTCATTTCTGCTTTGTAATCGCAGACATATATTTGAGTTCCCCCATCATATTTTGCAGAGTTTGCTCAAATGAGGAGTTAACGCGACATTAAAAGCAACATTTTGCTCAACCAAGAAATATTTTATCCCAATTCAAAACCCTTCTTCGTTTATTAAGTCTGTAATTATTTGCTTGTCATACGGAAGAATAAAAGCTGTATTTTGTGATGGAAACGAAGAACAGCAAAAAATTACTGCTCCTGTTGCAGATTTTTTCTTAGTGTTTGTGCTGACAACACACGTAACTGAGTACAAAACAATTTCAAACACTGCCTTGCTATAAATAAGCGATAGTTTTGTCAATGTGAAATATAATGAGTTTTTGGAACAAAGTCTTCCTGTTGCTATAGTAACTGTGGGGTCGATTTCAGAATTAAAAAGTTGGAGTTAGAAAATGAAAGAGACGTGTATTCAATTTTCTTTTTTTATTTAATTTTTGGGACCGATGCCAAAATATATCCACCGTTATATACATCCATCGAGAGTGTTCACCATAGTTTGTTTTTTAAAATTCATGTGCCTGCTTCAATCAAATTCTGTTTTTGTGATTTTTTTATGCTGTCATGCCTGTTATTTTTTTTTCTTTTCTGAAAATTTGTTGTAAAAAAAATTTGGATGACATTTTTTCACTGTCTGTTGTTTCTTTGCTCAGTTCATTTCTTTTTTCGTAATTTTTACAGCCATTTTGAAAATATTTTATATGTTACAACGTAATTTGTCTGCTCATTGCGTTCAGTATTCAATGTTAAAAGAAATAAATCTCCTTGCACACATAATGAAACATCCCGTTGGAGGCTGGTATTATATCAGAATGTCGATGTGTTTGTTGCTTTAAATCATGTTGAAGCCAGTGAGAGAAATATGTAATAATAAAATTATAAATAGCATTTGTATAGCGCATATCCCTGCTCAACAGCAGGCTCTATGCGCTTTACACTCTATTATTACCTTAGCAGACCATAGAACACTCCGAAACATTCTCAGCTTCCCGGGAAGCATACAGTGCAAGCAGCTGATTAAACGCTCAAACACTAACAAACTGACAAGATCTTTCGCTGTCTATAGCCGGGTACCCATTCCCACCTGGGTGAAGTGAGGAAAATTCGTGTAAAGTGTCTTCCCCAAGGACACAACGTCGGTTCCCTGACGGGATTCAATCCCACGACCTTACGGTTGCGAGTCCGAGAGCCTAACCACTAGGCCACCGACGCCACCCAGGAGAGCTGTATTACAAGCACGAAGTCTATAGCTTCCAAAATTTGTTTGTGGGTGGCTGGCGGATGCACTGGTGTATTGCGCTCTTTCTTTCCTATCAAACATCTGTCGTCTTTATCTCTCCTTCTTTCCTTTTTATGTTTATTTCTAGTAACACCTTTATTCTTGGCACTTTTATGATCTAATTGGGTTGTTATTGCGAGAAAACTTTAACTAAAACTGAATTTACTAAGACTATATTTACCTAAAATGTGTTTGGGTGAGTGCTCATCTTCTGTATCAATACTATCATTCGATGCTACTGCATATTATGACTGGGAATGGAGTTATGTACCTTTTGTTCTCTAACATGTACAATGATGTACCTGCAGCGAAATCAAGGGAACAGAACATTTTATACACAACATCAGATCATTATTGCTTTAACAAGAAATGTTCTTTCTTTTTTTTTTAATTTGCTGTTTTCTTTTGCAATCTGAACTAATGAATGTAAACTGCCTTTGTGGCTAATCTCTCAAGCTAATCTCTTTTACTCTTTTGATGATTGTCAGATGTGATGAGTGACCTGATTGAGTTTTCTCCTTGTATTTCTTTTTTTTTTTTAAAAAGATAATGAAAAATAATAAAAAAAATTTATTTTCCTTTTTTCGTGAGGAATTAGTATGACATTTGTGTGATGTGAAGTATTAACATGGGTTTGGTGTGAAGGAAAGACTGATTATAATACTTTGTGTTGTTAATGTGTGTGTGTGTGCGTGCGTGCGTGTGTGTGTGTGTGTGTGTGTGTGTGTGTGTGTGTGTGTGTGTGTGTGTGTGTGTGTGTGCACGTGCATGTGTGTGTGTGTATGTGTGTGTGAAAATTTCATGGACTGAAAATTGTTTTATACTCTGTTCCTGTTTTCGTTTAGTTTTTCGCACTTTGTTGAAATTTGAGAGGACTGAAGAGCAGAGCACATCTGTAATTTTTTTTAGTCTCGTTGTTAACATTTATTTGTTCATGTAGAAGCACCATATCATGTTTATTTCATCTCACAAACAAATTTATTTTACTGTTTCGCGTTAAAAAAAAGTTATGTTTTTGTTGTGCTTGGAAACAAAAATCTTGAAGTTTGAGAAAAACAGATCATTCTGTTCAAGTCTCTTTCACTCACTATTTCTGTGTGATTCTTAAAGTGATTACTCTGCACTGTTGAAGTAATATTGTAGAGAGAAAGATAAGCTGCACATTTCAGTACCATCTGTGAATATACTGGCGTGCCAACTGACCTTTATAACGAGAAATGAAAATGGAAATTGTTTTTTTTCTTTCATATTTTTGTCTAATGACTATTCAGGAGTTTTCAACTTGCATTTATGGTGTAACGGGTTGACTTTTCTCTGTAGTGCACAGAAAATTTGAGTTCAGTTCCTGCATTTTGGACAGTTTTATGCTGTTTCTCTGCCTGTCTGCCTGTCTGCCTGTCTGCTGGGATGTTGTTGTTGTTTTTTTTTACTGCAATCCAGGTCGGCAAGGTGGAAGCACACTGCCTCCTCTAAGGCCTGAACTGTGTTGATGGGGACGTAAGACAGTTAATATTCTGATGTTTTCAGTTCTGTAGGAGAAAACACAACGGACTTCACGACAGAAATCAGTCTAAATTGTGTCTATGGGAGCATAACAACACCTACATTGAATTTAAAAAGGGCATAAAGAAATGAACAAAAAACAATTAATTACATCCTCCTCCCCCTCCCAAAAAAATAATAATAAAAATAAAATAAAATAAAATAAAATAAAAGTAAACTAGCTAAAAATAACAACAACAAAATTAAAATAAAATAAGCAAACAAAATTTTTAAAATAATGACAATACTCAATTCACTGTCAGAAGAAACGTCAGCTCAGCAATGTGTTTCAAGACAACTTTTATTGGCTTGCGACGGTGTTCCCAGATGGTACTGAAGGCTTAGCCAGAGCTGTGAGGCTGGCGTGCGTCTCTGTTTAGTTACCGGGAAAAACAACAGAAAAGACCAGTGTCGGTCAACTTGGTGATGTGAGAGAACAGGTGCCTTATGGTCTATGGTTGTCACTTTTTACCTGTCGTTTCTAAATCTGAAGAACTTCAATTTTGTTTTCGTTCCATATTATTTTTCCACTCTGCCACCGATGAGTTCATTCATATCAATCAGTTCCGTTTTCATTGCTGCCTGTGAAGCTTCATTTTTGTAAAAAGCTGTTGTTTTGTTTAGTTTTGCATTTGTTCTGTGGTTCTGCCTTGCTGCGTGTACACAAACAACTGGTTCAGCCGGAGGTTTTGTTTTTTTGAAACTGCTGTACAGTTACACTTCACTTTTGTTTTTGTTGTCTTTGTTCCTTTTATTTTACAAGTATTCAGTTATATATATGCCAACACGATTTATCTCATGGTAAACCATTACTCTAATTCAACTGTAATATATTGTACATGTGTATGCTGCTACCCTTGTTTTTAATTAAGTCCTAACTTCTTTCGTTTCTGTGTCTAGTCTGCAAATGTCTGTCTGTTCGTTCTTTTTTCTGGATCATAATTTTCATAATACCTCATACCTATCGTTGCCATGTGTTGGACAAGGATCTTGATGATAGTAGTCCTAGGTATACGTGCCAGGCCATGGTGTATGAATATGGAAAAGAAAATTAGATAAGTGCTGCTTTGTGGGGTTAGTTGATAAATACGAAGTTTAGAGCTCAAACGATTTGTCTTTGTCCAAACCTACAATTGAGGTCTCTGCAGAGAAAAGTGCAATATTCTTTACTGCTTTCCTATGTAAATGGAGTTGCAGTTTTTTTCTGTCTGTTAAGTTTTTGAGAACCGATAGAGGTGAGGCTTGGAAAGAAAGTGACATGTGTAGAGGATGAAGTCATCGGCTTTTTATTTTTCCTCCCTGAAAGTTTGCGTTGCTAGAGCTAGACGCTTACAGTGTTTCTATTCTGATTCTTCACTCTGTATCACCCTTTTATGAGTCTTTGCTAAATTGTTTTAGTTGTCGTCAGATATTGACACAAATCATGTAGTTCTTTAGTTTAAATGAATAAAACGTTAAACATGATTGTTGCAAATTTAATTATTGTGAATGAACTAACTGGAATATCAAGACCACACATTGTCTCTAATTCTGAGAGCGTTTTATATTCTCACCGATGTAGCACAAATGTAGACATAAAAAGAAACTTTTATAACGCATACGTATTTCGAGATTTATTAAAGTACTCCACCAACAAGAAAATTTATTTCTATCCCTCGGATGTCACAAGCGTTTGTAAAATAAACACAAAGTCTAAAGCTTCTTGTAGAACTTACCTTTGACAGACGTTCACAGATTCAAAGGTGGGAAAACTCACAGACTCATAGTGTGGCTGAATAAGACAACTATGTACTGGCATAATGCATGCCCCTCGCCATAATGTATGAAAGTGTTTAAGACAGCGGAATACTGACAATACTTGTGTCAATGACAGCTGAAGACATCTACAGTTTTAAAAAGATACAAATTTTAAACTGCAAATGGCACGAATCCTTTGTCTGTGTGGATATTGTTGAGGTCATATAGTGTTCTGTGGTGTAGTGGTTAGCGTTTTTTGCCTCGTGAAAAGATAATATGAGTTTGATTCTCTCAGACGGGGGAGGTGTTTTATGGAGTATCTCCTTCTTTCTGTAGGGATACTGTATCTCCACGCAGCAAAATGTTAGGTTAGTAAGAAGGATGGTAGCAGCCCACCTCCCTAACAGTCTAAATTGTGTTGATGGTGTAGTGGCACAAAACATTGACAACAGGTTTGCGACAAGTTAGGAAGTCCACCAAGTTGGTATATTCACAGTTAAGTTTTTTTCTCTGCATTAGGAACAAAAAAGAAAATCAAACAAACGAATAAAGAAGTTAAAAAAAAAACAGAAACAAAATCTTCAGCTCTAGAATCTAGCTGCTTCTTTTGATCTGAAGCAGTTGTCTACATATTCTTTCTGTAATTTTGTTGTTGTTGTGTGTTTTAGTTTTTTTTTTGTTTGTCTGTCAAGATCTGGAAGAAGTAGTAACGGTCATAATACCTTTTTTCCCATTTTGAGAAGGGTTTTTTTGTTGTTTATTCTGACAGTTTTTAATTCATTCTGATCAGTGTTTTGGTTTATTCTGAGTATGGTTACTTTCCATTCAGATAAGTTCGTTTAATTTTGCCTATTCCGATACAGTATGGTTTATGCCTATTTTGATATGGTTTCTTTCTATTCTGATTTGGTGTTTTTTCTGTAAAGTTGTATGGCAAGGGGGACGGTAGGGGGGAAAAGGGGGGGGGGGGGGATCCTCATCATGTTAATTTGTATGTCTATGTCTACTGATTTGTAACCTCTCCATTTTATCTTGTGTGTGCTCTTATAAATAAAGAGAAATGCTATTTCGTTTCTGATGTGTTTCATGTCTGGGTTTTTTCTATCGAGTTGATGCGCTTCTTTTTTCTCACAAAAGAATCAGGAGGATTCAGTTATCCGGATTAGGAACCCTGAAATTTGATGGTTCGGGGCGAGTGGAAGAGGTTTAGGGGCTGAAGGTAAT